CTTGGCATGGAGGCAAAGAGTATTTTCATAAATAGAACTTAGGAAAATCACTGCGCACTCCATTAATTCAAAAACACTTCTCTCGGACTTCAAAGGTAATCCTGCCACCGCCCCCCTGCGCGTAAAGATGGTGTTTCCTCGCCGCTTTCATGTTCTGCTGCTTGTAGTTGTCACAACTACATGTTTTTAGTATGCGGCGGGCGGTCAGGGATGGGGAGGGAAGCGGCATTCATGCTCTCGTTCAACATGCTTCTGCCTCTGTATGAGCAGCAAGCCTGCCAGCTGAGCACGCCCTATCGCTTTACCAGGAAGAATTGTGCTGGCGCTGCCTATCAACATAGACCTTGCAGACGCATGCGCATGCACGTGGTCCCAGGGTCGGGTTCAGGACAGGAGGTTTTGTGCCTCGGCTCCTTTCAGGCATGTCCCCCCCTTTCTGTATTAGCTGAATGCATGACCCTGCGTTCCTTAGATAGACCAAGCTGCCCTTGTGTGTGAGAAGTGCTTCTGCCACTGAGTGCTGGGATTCCAGTGATGAGCTCCCATGCTGGACTTTCTCAATGTGGCTTTATGAAAACATTTTCTCTTTACACTTTGCCATATTTGTTTTTGTCAACCTATATTTTTAAAAAATCAATTTACTTTGACTTGAATACCGGCATCTCACTTCAAAATATGTTTTTTTAAAAAAAATTATTAAGTAGACCTAGGTTCATATTATAATGTACTAGAGAGGCTGGAGTGATGGCTTAGTGTGGTTAAGGGTGCTTGCTGCTTCTTTCAGGGGACCTGAGTTCAATTCACAGCAATCAACTTGGGTGGCTCACAACAACCTATAACTCCAGATATGGGGTATCTGACAGCCACTGTGGCCTCCATGGGCACTCACACTTATGTATGTATGCACACACGCACACATGCACACATGCAGATGCACACACGCACACACGCACACATGCACACACGCAGATGCACGCACACATATAAAAAATAAATCTTTAAAATAAAATATACTAGACAGTTTTCTTAGGGACCACAGCACCAATATGACGAGTCAAAGAATGTTCAAGGTGGTGAGCAATTTCACAGTCCTTTTTACAACAGCCAAATGTAAATGAGTGACCACTGAATAAAATTATGACCTTGTTAGCCAGGCATGGTGGCATATGCCTACAATCCCAGGATTTGGGAAGTGGAGGCAGGAGGATCATGAATTCAAGAGCGTGCTCAACTATATGATGAGTTCAAGGCCACCCTGAACTTCGAACAAAAGAAAAGGAACAAATAGCAAATACATAAAATATGACTTGTTATACATATTTATAATAGTCACACAATGTTGCCTGAATTTTTCATTTAAGTATTGTGACACTTGCTTTAGACTATGAGTCCCTGGTGGGAAATTCAGCTAATGTTCAAAAAATATTTCTGTGCAATAAGTTTTGATTTATTGAACTAAAACTGTCAATAATGAACCCATTTTATAAAAGGAGAACGTGAAACAAAATGAAGGAAATTGCACTGTGCCACGACTCAAAGTGATCTTGCCATCAAACTCGAAGGGCAAAACGGATTGCTACTTAGACAGCCAATCAATGTCGTCTTTCAGATTTTGATGGCCGCAACACAAACAGCTCCCCAGCACATACTCACAGCTTTCCTTTGTAACTAAATGAAAATTTAAATTAAAAAAAAATTGTTGTTGCTGCTGTTATCTGTTCGTTTATTTTTGCTGGATACGTAGTTCATGTGCCAGGCTCTGGATTCAGCCTGCTGCATCATGCACACAATAATAATGATGGGATGAAGAAGAAAAACAAGAAAGAAAAGGAGGAGGAGAACAGAAGGAGGAAGAAGACAAGAGTAGTTTTCAAAGTAAGCAAGACTTGTATTATTGAAGCTATCCCAAGTCCTAAAACTAAGCCTTCTTATGTTACTCAGTTATATTTAACCTCATTAAGAGAATGTTTGTAGCAGGTAAGAGAGCTTGCGTCAAGCCCAGTGACCTGAGTTGAATCCACTGAACCCACATGGTAGAAGGAGAGAACTACTTCTAGAAGGTCGTCCTCTGACCTCCAGTGCGGTACATGTGTGTGCACATGCACACACACACACACACACACACACACACACACACACACACACACACCAACTGACCAACTGAGACACTTGGAAAGGGCGCTCTCCAACCTCTCGAGCCACCGGCAGGCTGTGCAGGGTGCTGCAGGAGCCCAGCTTTTGAGAGCTGTCATCCATGCTTGGGTGGGCTTTGGGGACACAATTGTGTTGAAGTGGTTTCTGTGCCTGTAAGTAACCCAATAAACCTCATTTTCACCAAGTTGGACTTTGGTGGTATCCAGATTTTGGTCTGTAATGGGCTCCCTATGTGGGGTGAGTAGAGAGGTGTGTAGTGTCTCCCCAGGAGAAGTTTTGTCACACGCAGATGTGTCATTGAAGAAGGTGACAGTGAACCAACAGTGTGAAGGTAAAAGTGTGTGTGGGGGGATTAGCATTGTTGTTATAAACTCACTGCGTTTCCCTCTGTTTACTAGTCTAGTGTGCTTACACTCACTGATCTCCGGCACTCTTGCAATGAGACAGTAGCACACAGTGATGAAGACGATGGGCTCAGGGAGAGCTACGGGATCTCCTAAGAGAGCGATGGCGTGTTCTGATATAGGTATCAATGACTACACAATTCAGTGTGTATACTAAAAACCACTGACCTGTACACTTGAAAAGGATAAATTTTATCATATGTGAATGATATTTCAGTAAAGTTGGAGGCCAGCCTGGTCTACATAGTGAGACCCTGTCTCAAAAACAAAACCAAGCAAAGCTTCTGCCAGTTCCTTGTACGCCCCTGCTCTCTTCTACCCAGAGAGCACCTTGGGTAGACCAGTTGTTCCCACCCATCACACCAGCTTCTGAAACACAGGAAGTTAAGAACTAATCCACAGATAAGTAGAAGCTGCCCCTCCCTCACACCACGTCTGTAGCAGAAGAAGCAGGACTATGGGCTCTCTGGTTGGACATTCCTCAGTGTACTTCCTAATGAGCAATAGTTTTTGCTACATATTTTTCCCATCATTGTCCTTGTGTGTTGGATGTGATGTAAGTACCACCATTCTAAGAATCTGTAAGCCATGCCCTGTGTTCAGCGCCTGAGCCTCTCCTATGCCACGCTCCAAAACAATTTTCTCTTCTCAGCGTATTTCTAGACTGTGTTTTTGACACTCGTTCTTCACTTCTTAGAAAATTAGTTCTGCTCCCAAGTTCTGCTCGTTTCTGACATTTGGTCACCATGCCCTGCCCCTTGTGGTTTTGGTTAATGTCTGTTAAGTCCTGAACTGTAGGGTATGTCTGTGAATGTGTAGCTCACCCTTTACAAAGCTGATGGCAAGGTTATTGTTCATTGTTCTCTATGGCTCCATCTTGGTTCCTGGTGCAGTCACGCCAGGTCACATGCTTACACAGAAGACTGACCTTAACGTACAGGAATTTTTTTAAAAAGGTCTTTAAAACATATTTGATATTAAAATACAATTTTTATATTTATTAAAGCTGGCTTCTTCTGGATACGGCCTATGTTGTGAGTTTCAGAACAGTCAGGGCCACAAAGAGAGACCCTGTCCCCAAAAAACCAAAAAATAAAGATTAAAGAAAAATAAAGTTTGCTTTTAAAGAAAGTCTTAAGTATACCAAAATATGTTATAATAAAATGTGAAGTAGGAAACTAAAATTTTAGTAAAAGTAATAGCATCTGGCTGAAGAGGCAGCTTAGATAAGTGTTCACTGTGTAAGTATGAGGACCAGAGTTCAGATCCCCAGCACCGCTTCAAAACTTCAGGTTCAGCAAGAGACCCTGTCTCAGTATATAAAACAGATCAGTTAAGGAAAACACCCAAGGTCAACCTCTGGCCTTGTACACACACACACACACACACACACACACACACACACACACACACACACAC